CTTTTATGGATCATTACAAGTTTCATGTTGAGATCTCTCCTGATAGAATCTCTATTACAAGATAAAACCAAAGTCAAACGAATGCTTTCAAGAATATGCCAGAAGGGAAGAAGTTGCTAGGGTGCGTCCACCTATGTAGGAATCAGAAATTATCACATATTTTATCCAAGCTGAAGATTCAAATTACTATGAACGAATGATGACAATGAGTGAGAAGACATTTGCTGAAGTTATCAAAGCTGGAGAAATGATTGAAGACGATCTCAAGACAGGTAGACTAACGAGTTTTACCTCATCTCAGCTTGCTAATATGGGGTATCAATATAGTTCATTTGTAAACTAAAAGGAGAAAGAAGTTATGATGTTAATGACTAAGGGAACTACCTCATATAGTCGTAAACCACCTCCAGGGTATCCTAATTTACAATGTTATGTTTGCAAAAATCAAGCAGCATTTCATTCTCCACGACCAATGCAAAATCTTGGAAATAATGCACCTCGTTCAAATTTTGAGAAAATCCAACCCGAGTCTTCATTCCATCGTGCAAGACACAGACTCAACTTTTTGAAAGATCGAAAGAGAAAGGAATACTTCATCCAGTGGAAGCCAAAACTGATTCAGCCGAGTGGTATGACCCAAATAATCGTTGTGCTTATCATTCAGGAGTTGTTGGACATGATACTAAAAAATATCTCTCTCAGACACAAAATTCAAGATCTGATAGACAATAAGGTGGTAAAACTTTCTCAAGCTCCACCAAATGCGAACACCAACCCACTACCCAAGCATAAAGATTAGTTGTTGGTATAACCAGTTGCAAGGAAGAAGCAAGTTTCCTGGAAGTCGTATTTTTGACATTTAGTCTTCCATTTGGTGTTTGTTGTTTCATTTTCTTGTAGTCTCTTTTATCACTTTGTTTTCCTTGTAATCGTTTGTTTGGTTTTGATTTCCTTTGTAAGCATCTTTTATCTATAATGAACTACGTCAGACCTGAATAATCAAGAATGAGCTACATAGGCGGCCTATGTCAGCTTCGGTAACCCCTTTATCTCTTTTTAATGTTTCCTTGTACTTGAACTACGTTCCACCTAAATTCTCAAGAATGAGATATGTAGATGGCCTATGTCGACCTCGATTGTTTCCTTAGTTAAATATTATTTTTCAAAACTTACCCTTTAAATGGTTTTCTTAATTTTTCCCTAAAAATTAAGTAGCGATTTCCAAATTACACATTTTTCCAAAAAAAAAATTCATAAATTGTCAAAGTTGCGAAATCGACTTCGAAACCTTTAGTTTTTGAAATTGGTTTGTAACAACATATAAGAAAGATAAATGAAAAAATAAAATGATATTATTAAATGTTGTGAAATTGAATAGAATATCATTTCAAATAATTTTAGTATAAAATAGTCAAAAGTGTTATTCCGTTAAAAGTTGATTTGAAAACCCACCACTTGATTCATGTAAATAAAGGATCTATCGTTTGGTCCATATCTGGCGTGGGAGATTTTGCATTGAAAGGATCGAGAAAGACGCACATAAGTATATCAGTTATTGTGCCCATGATAGACACTGAGTATCCGAGTGCGGAGTGGATAATTGGTGAAAGCATCTATGTAGTAGTCCACCCCAAAACTAGTGCTCTCCCATTTTAACTCCCCCAAAGTTTCTGATAGCACGACTGAGACAACGACGGATTCTATGCCCCGAGATTAAGCGACAAAAGTGTTGGAATACTGACCCCCAGATTTGCGTAATGAATAGGTATATCCTTTGCAGATTATAATAGTAACGTTATGTAAAGTAAATAAAGTAATGACACAATATTTTATCGCAAAAATTCCTCGCTCATAAAGGATAAAAAACTATGACCTGCACCTATGTAGGATTTAACTCTACTTCATTATACGCTAAGCCTGAACAAGAGATTACAAACCTATGTAACCTAAGGAATTATAAAATCTAATTCTGAGACGTCAAGAACAAACTAGATCATCGACCACACTACAAGTTATGACTTTAAATTAAAACTCTTGCAATATTAGGAACTAACTATAATTCCTAAACTCCAACACAAACCCTCCAAGGTTTATGTTCCCAAGTCCTTATGTCGCCCTAACATGAAGACTCTATTCCTACTCCAATTTAGACTTCACCGCGTCAAAAAATAATTAAAGATACAACTCGAAAAAACACAATATAAGCAAACGTGACTTAGGAACTATAAAACATAAGCCTATTCTTCAATTCTTGTTTCCTTGCGTTGGCTGCACTTCATAATCGGAAATCAGTCAAATATAAACTCCCTCTATTTGATTATATTTAACTTGTAATTCTGTGTTTAGGTGCACAAGTTTTGTTGGAAGACCCTTGTTCTATTTATAGGCTAAATAGACCAAAATTCCTTTTCCTACTTCAACTCTGGTTCAACATGTTTTCCTTCTTCATCCGTGTGAATTTGGAAATTCTTGTAAACTAATTTCATGCATGCTTCCTCTTACTTCAAGGAATTCTTTTTGGAAGAAAACTTTTTTGCACTGGTTTCTTGTAGAAAAGGCAACTTTTTACCCATTTATAACTTTTAAATCGTGTGGTTGACGTTCTTCTTATCTCGATCATATTAGGTCTAATGGAATTTGTCGGCGCAGTCAGTTCCTTTAGATCTATTCCTTTATTTATCAATTATCAAAAAAAATCGATCTAACAAATTCTCTCTTTTTGATAATGACAAGCTATTGCTTCTTGTGTGAATAGATCAATTTTTGTTATGTTAGTTTCTTAAAGAACAACATACAAAGCAAATACATTAGAGGATCAAGTTGGAAAAATTGGGTTATAAATATTACCCATGCATGCACTTCCCCCTTTTGACATCATAAAACACCGTGAAGACGTACACCACACTAAGAGAAGCAAATTTGACACTTAAGGCCATTGGGCTATCACCTACACAAACAGTTAAAAATCAAGAACTTAGTTCGTTATAGCAAAGCATTTGCACAAACATAGGAGATAGACATGAACCTTAAGCTCAAACCCAAAATTAGCATTAATTAAAAAGTATATACACCACAAATATAATCAAAATTAAAGATAGAATCAAGCACTTGTGATGAGGGAAAAAAAATTGGAAAGTCAAAGGCTAGGCAATAACAAAGACACAACATGAGAGGGTAAATAAAAATCCTCCTTCAACAGCTCGAAAAAAATTGGATTAACAAAATTAGTAGTCTTCTCAATTTCAAGGATAGCCTTGGTCTATGCAAGCTCAGTCTTTAAGCTTTGTGTTTTATTTTTCTTTAGTAGGTCAACATGTTCAAGATCAAAGTTCATATGCAGCTGGTTCATGGCATTTTGGTGAGTACATATGACTTCAATTTCAGTTTTTTTATTTTTTAGTTTTGTATCACTTTGAAGAACTTGTTCAATAAAAGTTGTGTTCTCGGGAGAAACAATAGACCCCCAAAATCAGTAATCACCTTACCTAAGAGCATTGTCCACTTCCCAAAGTTCACAACTCTAAATGTACAAACATCAAGAGTGTTTTCTTACCTAAGAGATTCAGAGGAAGGTAATTCATAATCATTTCATTTACTATCGATAGTCAGATTGACCAGCTTTGACTTGAGATAATCTTAGAAGGAACATATTTCTTGACTTGATTCATTGATCGTTTCTATTGAGAATTATCTTTGCATTTTTTTTCCATAATCTCCTCATCTTTAAATTCAATAGAGTTAGTAAGAGGAACAATTTTTCTTCTTCCCTAGACATGGTACCATCAGATGCAGCACCTATTGACACCAGTTTTGGACCTCCACAATAAAAATTAATCATCGAGCTTCTTCAATTTTGGACATTTAAAATAATTAATTTTATAAAAAATCAAAAATAGTTTGCAAGTTATTTTCCAATAGTTTTGTCCCTTTTTTATAATCTTTTTCAAATAATATATATGTTTTAGATACTTATGTATATTTTGTAAATATTCAAAAATGGTCTCAAAACTATTTGAATTTGGATTACAACTCTTTCAATATTAGGAACTAACTCTAATTCCTAAACTCCAACACAAACCCCCCAAGGTTTATGTTCCCAAGTCTTTAAGTCGTCCCAATTTGAAGAATCTATTCGTACTCCAGTTTATACTTCACTGGATCTAGAAAGAATTAAAGATACAACTCGATAAAAATTCAGTACAAGCAAACTTGACTCAAGAACTATAAAAACATAAGCCTATGAATTAGTTCTTTAAATTCTTGTTTCCTTACGTTGGCTGCACTTCGTAGTCAAAAATCACGCAAATATGAACTCCCTCTATTTGATTGTATTCTACTTGTAATTTTCTACTTAGGTGCGCAATTTATTTGTTTTTTTGCAAGATCCCTGCTTTTTTTATAGACTAGATAGACCAAAAATCATTTTCCTCCAACTCTGCTTCAACATGTTTTCCTAGTGCCTCTCTGCTTCCTTTACCGTGTGGAATTTGGAAAATCTTGTAAACTGATTTTATGCACGCTTCCTCTTTCTTGAAGGATTTTTTATGGAAGAAAACCTTTTTGCACTGATTTCTTGTCGAAAAAGCAACCCTTACACCGTTTTATAATTTTGAATTCGCGTGATTTGACGTTCTCTTTATACAAGTTAAATTCGGCCTAAAAGGCACATGTCGGTGCAAGTTTCTCTATTTGTCAATTATCAACATATTTCTCTATCTAACCAAAAATTATTTGAGAATTCAAGAGAAGATAGAGGTGAGACAAGCCATTTTCAATAGGTGTCCAGTGAAAGTGCAATGATATATATTTGTAACAGGGTTTTAACGAGTCGATTTAAATCGGTTATTGTTAAAAATTAAACCAACTTAATCGATTTTAAAATTATCATAAACAAACCAAATAAATATAATATATATTTATCAGTTTGATTGTTATCAGTTTCAGTTTAATTTGATTCACCTATCTGGTTATTAACCATAGACAAAATTTAAAGAAACATATCATTCAAAATGTGGACTTGAAGAGGCTTCGGTTAGGATGACATCCACAGCTTATGTTGCACTCTGGATAACAGATTTTTACTTTATTTCTTCTCAACAATGATATCTATGCTTCCATTTCTCTACAAATATCAACATGTCTAAACTAATTTGCTCATAACGGATATAAAGAGAAGAGCTAATCATCAGTTGTACAGTCTCTTGCCACAAAAATAGCTTTCAGAGTGTCGTTTGACATGCATCAGGGCCATACAAAAACTAGCATCCTTCATTCATTCCATTGGCATTTGCTCTAATTAGCTGCTACCTGTCAGGAAATGAGACTGGTCTGTCACGCCGACACGAGTAAACTATTAAGATGAGTAGACTATACTTTAATTATCCCCTTTTAACAACAGAAAGTGGACTTGTACCTTTCAAGAAAGGGAGTAAGAGGGTTCAGTTAGGAAGACACACCGGATAACAGATTTTACTTTTTGGGCCGAAGTATTAGTTCTTCTCTACAATGATGTTCTATCGGAAGAAAATAACGAAATAATAGTCGACGAGTTCATTCAACAGAGAAACATCATATCAAAGTTCAAATATTGAATAGTCAAAGAAGAGCCAGATTCAGTATGATGCAAACAAACGTGTCTATGGAAGCAGTTTCTATTCACTTAAACAAATGAACAAGACTCGACAAACAAATGATCTTCTTTGTGTGAGGAATCAGAGAGCAATATATAACCATCTTCTTTTGCATTGTGTGATAAGGAATCAACATCCAGCTATGGAATTTTCTCTTACACATGAAAAAACATTAAGCATCAAACAGGTCATGCTAAGGTCTGTTGTGGAGCTATTAAGTGGATCTGTCGGGCAGAAAAGCATCAAAACGGACATGCAACAGGCAATTCCAAATGTTTGTGGATATAAAATTTCTTAGAGAAGCTTTGACTTCAGCTATAAAATAGTTAATGTAGAACAAACAGGTGACATGCAATAAATAAGTCAGACAGATCCAAAAAGGCAATACCTGATGATGCTTGTTCCAGAGCTTTCAATCCCCAGGATCAAAGGGTTCCCAAGAACCAATGTCTTTGCTCTGAATAATATGGAACATTGCACATTTGCAAGCTGAAATAAAAGAAAGAATGATCTGTTGAAGGAACATCTGATGAAGACATGTAGACATATGCACAATTTTTCAAGTAAACCATCTCATATAAGTATTCACAATTGATGGTAATTTTTGCCTAAAACTATATAGTAATCAACAGTTAGCCAATGCATGATTTTCTTCAAGTGGCAGGTCCTCAAATTTCCTAAAAGAGATAACACATGTTGAAAGAAATATAATTTCTGCAAAATGACATTCAACCTTAGATCAAGCTTTCTTACATGATTATCAAATTAAAAAAAACATTGTGCTTAGACATGAAAAATCTACAATCAACTATTTTGTATTGAATACTGATAAGTAGAACCCAAACCTCGTCTATCAACTGTAAACCAGTTTCAAACCAAAAGTAAAAGGTTGTTATGTACATCGCGATCACAACAAAAGAGAATGGCGTAAGATTATCAACAAGGAAAGATAACTGAAGCTTGCAGACCTCCTGACAACAAAATCCCAAAACACATCTCTCCTTCTGAAGTTGCAAGCAATGACAGACTTCTTCAGTGCTGTCGCATTCTTGCACAAGCATTTGATCAATGGATGGACAAACTTTTTTTCACTTGGTTTTCCACGAAAGTTAATGAACTTGAAGAACTTTAGATGTGGCAATGAACAGTTAAAACTATTTGTTTCAAATCTCCTCCGTCGTTCATCCTCATTTGAGTACATCGACAGCAATTTCTGCAGAAAAAAATTCGATATATTAACCAGTTATTCTCATCTAAGTAGAAAGCAAAGAAGTTGATTGCTGATGCATTAAAAAGGTGATACATTTGCCAAATCCCCTTTTCGAAAGAGGATAAGCTGTCAAAGCCCCTCTTTGTAACCTTTTATCATTGTCTATGAAAGTATAATGATTTTTTTTTCCTGAAGCACTAAACATATATCATCTTTCACCAATTGTTTTATATTAATTACATTAAGTAACAAAAATAAAGGTCTAAAAGAAAATTACTCTTGGTTTAGGATGGCACCAGTCAATGACCAATGTCTCAAGACTTGATGAACTCAATAAAAAGCTGCAAACTCCAGGATAGTCGTACGGTTCTAAGGCTGCGTTAAGTTTTAAGAATTTCCAGCTTGTGGTGGAACAGGCCACCCTTTAAACTCCACCATGGACAGGCACTTATGAACCAAAAAGATAAAGCAAAATACGTCAAAAACTAGGAAATGCAACATACTTAATAAATGACATGAAAATTGTTCAATAATTCGAAAAAACAACTTCAACTATAGGACTGTTTTGCCACAAGGCACAAGCCACATCAGAGTATTCAAGGTTGGCTTGGAAATCTACGGATTGATTTGGAGAAAATTCACAAACGTAGGGGTAAGGTTTGCGTACACCACACCCCCTTCCTAAACCACAAGTAGTGGGATTATACTAAGTATGTTAATATTTGGAAAAACACATCTGCATGACTTTGTTTGATAAAAGTGGTATTTGGGCCAGTTTGTGTGCAGTGTGCACCTCAATTAATTCCACATGATACTTGCCACGACAGGTACTAGATAACTTTGCCAACTAACCAAGGCTATAACAGAGGGGAAGAATCACCCAAAAAAATTATTGGTTGGGAATTGAACGTCATAGTGCTCAACCCACTTTTAAATATTATCTATCCTATAGTATACTCTTAATTATCACAATTTCCGTCATAAATAGAGTATTTTTTTTGTTCAATAGGCCTTGTATCAATCACTTACCACTGTCCAACAAAATTGGCCATGAGAATGTTATTCTTTAGTACTTACAAACATAGTCATAAGTAGTGATATTGTTAATGTTACTAAACTGATGAATTCAATAGCAAAGAACAAACCTCGATGCACCAGGGACCCAATTCAAGATTCTTGACGTTAGCAACGTGGTGAAGAAGTTCCTGCAAATATTTACACTCCTTCTCCAAATTCTCTTCAAGGTCGGCGAAATAAACTTCTACAGAAATGAGTGCAGTGACAAGTGAAGCCACATTTCTCAGCTGAAAGTGTATCTTATCGTAACACAACCCCAAAAGTTCTAAATGTCGAATATGTGGGGCATGAATTTCGAGGCAATGGTCTTCATCATAATCAGTTTCATAAATCGTTACAATCAATTTTGTCAGCTTCGCAGAGGTGATATCCAGACAACGAATACCAACAACTTTATCTAATTCCAAGCACTCCAAATTAGGACAACCTGATAATACTTTTTCCATTACACCCTCTGTCATAACCGCATCCCCAATCGAAAGAGAAACCAAATTGCTCCATTTCACATTACCAGAAGGTCTCAACCAGCAATATCCTAACACCAAATTCCTCAAAACCGTATTCGTATACGCGTATTCAGGAAAATTATACGCAAAACCTAGAGACTTAAAATAACAAAATTTCAACGTGAACTCTTCAACCTTACCAACATTAAAAGCAAAGTGCACCCACAAATCAACATCATGAGCAATAAAGTCCTCGTAACTATTAGGAAAAACCCTAAATGATTTGATTTTATCGCAAAACCTCCAATAATGAAGCTCTCTATTAACAGAAGCTGCGTAATCCAGAATATTTTCTTTTTTGTAAGGTTTAAGATAAACTTCTGAGTTGTAATAGAGTGATGCTTGAACGGATTTCCAAAGAAATCGCCATTCCGATGATAATACGCTCATTTGAACAACTTGTCTACTGTTTGGTAACATAGAGAGGATGTGGAGTAGAATCTCCTCCGGCAGATCAGTCAGCCGGTCTCCTCCTCCGGCCGCCGCCATCATTTTCTTGTATACAGAATCTTCAATTGCAGTTTTGGTAATGGCGGTCTACCCAACGATGATATCCTCGATTTCTGTAAACAAAACTCCGTAAAAGTTAGGAGGGAGTAAAGAAATTTAAAAAGAGAAGAAAAAGGTCCTAAATAAGAAGCAAAAGTGGTGTTTCAATTAGATATCGTGCACCTCAATTAAATTCACTAAATATGACATAATACTAAAAGATATGAAAGAATCACATATTATTATTTTTATCTTTCCTGATTTATAGATAAATTAATTTTGATTGTCTATTAACTTTTTTTCTATTTTAGTCTATCTTTCTTTTTATCATTTTCCAAAAAGTTGATAAACTTTAACACATATGCAAAAGATAGTTTCCCCCTATTACAACTGACAATATAATATGAATTCTTTAAAATGTGAAGGTAATTTTTATCTATTAAAATGATATAAAAAATTGTTGGTTATATTATTGTTAGTGCAATTCAATTTGAAAAGTTTAGTAAATCCTCCATCAAATTAAAGGAATATAAAGTGATAGTACATTTGACCTCTTAAAGTGATTTTTATGTCAATCACATAAAATTGATAAATGTGAAAACATGACAATGAATTCAAATGGTTATGGTCCATTTCTTAAAGAAAATGTGACTTGTGTTATTATGGATGAGAACATATTCATGTATAGTTGGATAAATATCACATCTCACCTCTACGAAAAATTTGAGAGATTGAATTTTGACATAAATTGTCATTTACTTAAAGTACTATACAAATATTGTGGTATGTTAAATTATAAACTATTGAAGGACAAAAGAAAGAAATAATTATTTCCTATAAAGGTTGTGATCATGACCAAAATAAATATTGTGTGGCAACACAAATCTCTCATTGGTTGCCAAGAAATAAATCTTGCATGTGACAATTTTAAACCATGCCAATAAAAATATTTTCTCCTTAAATCAAAAGGAGATAATTACCATAAGAACAGTGTTGTGAAATTTGTGATAGTACACAAAATTAGTTGAGAGTTCCAAACGGGTTAATTTAATACTATCCGAAGGAATGAAATTGTTCATAATATTGGGATTATAGTGAGTCTCAAATGAAACTTTTAAAGTTTCAGAAGAACTGAAAAGAAATATATTATATTGAGACTATAAATTATGTGAAGATTTAATATCTTCAAATTACTACACCAAAGTGGGTTATAAATATTTACATATAAGATTACTCATTTATTATTTTTTGTTGTATACAAAATATGGGCATGATGATGGAATCACATATAAAAGTAGACTAGAAGTTTACTAGAATAAATATCAGTTGGCATAATCGGTTGGTTATTCTTATTTAAATGTGATGAAAAAGAAATTGAGAATTTTCATGTGACTATACTATATGTTTGAAAAAACAAAAGATTCTTAAAAAATTCTCTTGTTTTGATTATTCTCATGATAATTGTACCAGCTCAGGTTGAGATTGTATCCGCTCAAATTATTTAAAACATATAAATAGGTAAATATGGGTCTGTTCATCTGTCATGTGAATCGCCTTACTATTATGATTTAATAGATGCATATATGGTATGGTCACATGATCATTTATATGAACTTACAAATTGATTTTTATAAGGTTATTTACTCAAATTGTTAAATTAGGAGCACAATTTCAAACTATCAAATTATGTTGATAATATTAGTTGGTTTAGCAGAAATTGTTTGCCTACAATTATAGTTAGACCACTGATTATGAGAACAAAATTCTAATATAAAATTTGATATGAGATAAGTTTATTTAACATGTATGCATCAATGAAAGAAGGTTCTCCCATCACAATTGGTTCAAGGTCAGCAACTAAATAATTTTCATTTAATTTAATGTGTGCACATATAATATATTACTCCACTCCGTACAAAGATAGATCCCCCAGATGAGGTTGCGGATAAATGTTAGATTTCCTAGCATTATGGAGGCATTGGTGGGTATGTTTGACAGTTGAAAATTATATGTAGGGTGAACTATCTAATCCTCGTTAAAAATGTGAACTTGAAGTTCAAGAGATAATTCATTTACAAAATATTTCAAATAATTTGTCAAATGTATTTTCTTACCCGAGATTTTAATTACGCTGCAAGTACTCCAATAAATAGACCTTAAAGGACAGAGTCTATGGTATGTCATAAGTGTGATAGACCAATCGATTTCAAACGTTAAACTCCTTGAGGAAAGAGAGGAGAAAATTATCAAAATGGTCATGATAATGAGGTAAGTGTTTTGAAAGACCACTATGACATAACACTTCATAAAACATTGCAAAGGTTCAGATACGTGAAAATGATGAAAAATAAAGAGATCTTGATAAGTTATCTATATTAATATGTTTGTCGACAGTATCTTTGATATGAAGTAGCACTTAATGTTATAAGTGGTTACGAGGATCTTAGTGTGGACATATGAATGATTGGCACTATTCAAGTATATTTTGTTTCACTTATAAAAGTGACGTTGATCTGATAATTCTTGGATCAAAATATAATGTTAGTGTCGTACAAATGAATTATTGTTTGAAAGTATAACCATAAGATACAAAGTGTGATTTGTGCCTCGAGGCATAAAGGATTTTCACAAAATTTCTCACATTATTGAATGGAGATATATTCTCCAGTGGTGGATGCAATGAGACTTGTTTCAATTTGGTAATAGATGAAATATTCGAATATGCATTATGTGTAACTAGACGTTGAAGGTTATACGAAGATCCTCAAAGAATTTAAAAGGTCTTGAAGCAATTCATTGAGTACCCAATGATTTCGCATCCACTTGACAAAAAAAAATCTTTTTCAGCTCTTGAAAATGATTTAAAATGTCATGTATTATTTTAATTGATATACTTACATATTGTTGGATATGCAAATATTAGAACACTATTTGATATATATATATATATATATATATATATATATATATATAATATAATATAATATAT